TACTTGTTTAGGTCACACCTTACAAAGTCCAGTTTACAAGGTAACATTTCTGATTTGTTTAGTTTAACCCTTCAGTAACCCAAAGTAAGGTCAACCTTTGTCCACTTGTCTTTGTTGTTTATTTCTATTCAGATATACCTTGTGCTTTATTCTTTGGTTCTTTATACCTTTATACTTTGAAAATGTATAATAAAAATGATTGCGATAAAAGTAAGTTGGAATTTTTGAAAATCTTATTATTGAAAAACTTTTATTCTGTTTTCTTTTAGCTACAATAAAAGTGCAAGTATCGGATGCTTACCGAATTATTATTATCGACTGGTCGAAGAATATAAAGAAAGAAATATTCAGACAGGTAAATGTAAATAAAAAATATCACTTCTCTCTTTAATATTCAATTATTATATTTTCCATGTTTCACAGCTGGCAGAATTCACTGGAATATCAATAGAAAAAACACAGTCTATTTCATTTTCGAAGCCACCTGTTGGAAACGATGTTAATCCTCCAAATCCTTTTCTTCGTCCTACTGGTGACTTAGCAATTTGCCATTTTGAAAAATCGTAATGTCAATTAATATTTTTGATAATTTGATTCTGTTCATAGTTATATTTCTTTTTATTCTTATTTATCAGGTTCTCCAGACCTGCAGCCATACCTCAAGGTTACTATCTGTATACAAAGGAAGATTACAGAGATAAATTCTTTAGAGATGGCGATTGCTTTGCTCTCAATACAAGAATGTTTATGACATTCACTCTGGATAAATTCAACGTTCAATATAATTTAGTGCATCGAGATTTGATTGATGAAACTGATTGCAACCAGTTGTTTTGTCATCATATAAGTAAAAAAGCTTTTTTGGATAAACAAGCTAAAATAAGTAATTCAGATATTGAATCTTATCTAAGAAATCAGCCTCGTCCAGTTCCTATTGTTGAAGATACCCTTGACGAAGAATTCCATGCTGCTAGGGTTATTAGACAGAGGGAAATCCATGCGGATTTGAATATTGGACAATATTTTCATTCCTATTGCAGGTTCTTTTCTGATGGAATGTTTCCTGTACCAAGCCCTCGTATCTACTGGCCGAATCGGGGTTAACTCAGATCATAACAGATTTTTATTGTTTTAATAAACTTTGATTTAACATTTTGCATCAATGAGACTAAAAATCTATGTAAGGGAGTAATGTTTTTCATTCATTAACAATAAAATCTTTTCTAGCTTTTTCATTAATCTTTCACATTGATCCAAGCAGAAACGATACTTTTTATACAAATTAGTTCTAGTAGAAATTTGGCGCTTCTTGTTCTTTGATCACAAAAACTCAATTCAATATGTTAGTACTCTGGCTAGATGGCTCTGGAATCAGGTTTTACAGCCACGT